TGGACGCCGTCGCGGGGCCCTGGGGGCTGGCGCAGCAGGCGCGCCCCTTGCCCCGGCAGCAGACGGCGGCCGCGCGCCGCGCCAACCGCCTCGTGTGGCGCTTCACCGTCGCGCTGCACGCGGTCGCCGCCATCTCGGCCGGCGTCTGGGCCTTCTTCCCGCTGCTCGTGCCGCCCGTCGCGCAGGAGGCGCAGGGCGCGCGCTGCCCACGCAACGCCACCTCGCTCTGCCACTCCCACAAGTAGAGTCACTTTACCGAGTAAACTAGTGCTCGAAAAGAGCACTAATTACTCCCCCGTATTTTCACGCCAAAAGTACTCAAATGTTCGAAAACTTGTACATGACCTAATTTTAAAATCTGTCTCTAAGGAGCAGATTTCATTAAGGGAAAAATCTCCATCTCCAATATTTTAGTTGTAGGAAGATTGCAAAAAAATTGTGAATATTTGCAATTTTCAAAAAGTCAGGGATTTCGTCGGACCATTCTCTTACACGTCTGCATGACTGCACCTCCGTATATTGCCATCCTCTTAAACGTCCTTTACAATATCCAACAACAAAATGTAATAAAAAACGATAGAACCATTTCTTTGAAAAATTGGAAAATGATTCTAGAACTTCATGTGAAGTACCCCCAATAAATTTTTGAGAAAATCAGTTTGAAAAAACGGTTTAGCGACAAGCGTTGTTCACAGACGAAAACCAGACAGACGGGCAAACGTTTTGCTGTCATTCGATTTTTCGGTATCAAGGACCAACAAAACATGGATTCTGGCTCCATCGCGTGATAGAGGATTTTTTTCTAAATTTAGCAACTGAATCTATTCATTTTTTCGTTACAAGGTCCCTGCAATAAAGAGTTTTTCTGCCGAAAATTCGCCGTTTTTTGCACAGCATTACATAACATTTTCTCTACTTCGTAGGGAGAAAGTAAAAACACACACGCGTGTTTCTCATAATATTAACAATAAGTACGAGTAAAGCCGCTCCACATTAGCCTGTGAACGGGACCTGCAACCGGAAGGCGAGATACTGCACTTCACAATAAACGCCAACAGGAACAGGAATAGCGCTATGAATCTGTTGCGACAAGAAAGGGAACTTCGAGAATCAGTTGCCAAAAGTAATGCACTTCTATATAGTAGCTTTGCTACTCTGTTCACTCTTCGATTTTGCATCTGCCTGTTGTGTTTGCGTATGCTGCTATGAACAATAAATTCTTGAACGACAGAAGATTAATTAGAAAAAATAAAATGATAAGAATGAAAAAATACAACCACTACAAACTCACCGAAAATATAACTAAAATGTTATTAAAAACAAACAACACCAGTGTGCATGAACAAAATTTATAAAAATTATTTTGGGGGGAATTTCAATTCAAATTACTATTAATATACGCAGAAAAATACTTAAACTACATTTATTAAAAAACTGAAATAACTTAACCATGAGAAAAAAAAACCGACTGAAACCGTAACTTCCACTCTCTAATCTCAATACTCACTACACTCTGGACTCCGCGCCCGACCAGTATCGCGCGCTCGATCAGCTGAAAAACTTCGCCGCTATTTGTTGAACTTTCCTTTGTCGAGAGACTTCCCGTTCCCGGGCTAAGATAAATGTTGACCATCCTTCCAGATCCCGTTCCCGTCGTGTTGTGAACGCCTACCTGAGATGTCCATCTTTCAACTTTCTTTACGATCCCGTTCGCGTTATCGTTTTGGTTTTAGAAGTATATATCCCAACAGAAAGTGGGATTTCTCATTTTTCAATTTCGTCGCAACCTGTACGACACAGCAACTTTATGCGCATTTACAAGAGTCGCTGTTGCACCCTCGGGAGGTTATCAGTTTGCGAACAGTGGGTGCAATTCTTGGGTGAATTGGCGGTTTTGTTTCTGGCGGCCTAAAGCCCCGTTTAGGCGATCAGTTTCTAACGGCCTAAAATCGTCCCCAAGGCGAACCCAAGGCCACGCGCGATACAGGATAACGTATTTATCATCTCAATTCCGTCACTTCACAAATGTTTGATTTTCTTCCTTTGCATCCGGGAAACGTACGTTTTTCTTCGACAATACTTAAAAAGTACGTTTAGACTCATTTTAATGATGAAATACATATCTCTTGATGTAATTAAAAGCTAACAGGTACCACTTGTGTACAGGCCCGTAGAGATGTATTTGATGTGTTCGGTCTGGATCTGTGTTCTCTACAGTCCTGGATTTTGTATACAGGGGCTGGACAAAATAATATGTATGCCTGGTACATGCAAAACATTACTTGTTAATAGTTGCCTTAATAATTTTCAACGGAATGTTCTCATATTCTTCTATTAAAACATCCACCACTTATTTCAACGATGTTGGATTCTGCTCCTGGCTGTCTCCCCTAAAACGCTCCATAACGGCTCATTGTATTGAGGTTTGCCGTTTGGGCTGGCCAGGGAAGACGATTGATGATATTTTGATGTTCCGAAAACCACGTCTGAATCTTTTTTGCTGTATACACGCCTATTATCATCTTGGAAAATAGCAGCGTTAGTCAACAATATCCTAGAAGTACTGTATTCTTAAGGATGTCGAGCTATTCATTCGCAATGACAATAATGGTAGGATCAGCTGAATACCACGATTCCGTCGCTCAAGTCATAACAGCCCCTGCCCTATGCTTGTCTGTAGAAAGCAGACAGGCTGGATCGTAGGATTGTTTTGGGGTTCATCAGATATAAAACTGTCAGTTGTAGAAAACAATATAAACGATTATTAATCGGCCGTTCTTCCAGTCAGAAAATGTTCAGGTTTTACTTGTATGATAGTGCCACCACGTCTTTCGCAGTTTTGCTTTGGCTTCCGTTCTGAAGCGTTTCGCAGTTGCAGACCTTTCATGAATGGTAGCTTTGTAAAGCTCTCACCGTTTTTTTATTTGTTTTTTTAGCAGTGTTGAGTACTGCAGTCCTTTTTGCCGCGGTAGTTTTACATTGCCTGTTTTACAATCCTTTTAAATGTTCGACGGTCTCTGTCAGTTAATTTCGTATTTCGCCCACTATTCCTCTTCGTCGGTGATATTTTCTATGTTTTGTGTATGCTGGCATTACCGTGAACACTGTCACTCGTGAAACGTTAAAAATTTTATCTGTTTTCGTCACACATGCTCCCCCTAACCGCGCACAAACAATTTGCCCTCTTTGGAAGTCTGAGAGATCACACATTGCACCGATCTTTTGTCCACCGTCGCAGACAAGAACCTACAATACACTGCAATATAATCTTCAAAACATGTCAGCCAACTGTGCAATGCAGCCACCTCACAGAGTTTACACTTCCGCAGTGGAGCTAACATGCAAAAAGATGTACTATATTGCATAGTTTTCCGGTTATTTTGTTCAGCTCCTGTATATGGATGGTTGAATAACACTGGTCTATACTCAAAATCATTCCGAGTTAAAAGTAGCTAATTATTATTAATTTTGATGTGAAATAAATGAATATGACGTTAACAATATTTAGTTAGCTCTCATTCTCTTAAAGTACATAATTTCATTTTAGGATAGTAGGTAATTGTATAATGTCATTTTTACGATCTCAGTAACTGACTACACATTAGGGCCCAAGCCTGGAAACGCCGCTAGTTGACATATACCGGATTAATCTGTCCCTTAAATGCCAAATACATGCATATACTATATGCGTCAGGACAGAAATCCCAGAGCTGAAGAAATCGTGCACAGGTTGCAGTCCTCTGCGTAGTACGTCACACAATTTTTAGCTATTTTGGCGATAATTAAATACATGAATCCTTGTGTTCTAATCATGTTTGTTCGAAATTTTCAATAGTTAAACTTGTTATTAATATCTTTATCGGTGCGACGGTGGACAATAGTGAAAACCACACGTTTCGAACAAGGGGCCAAGCAGCGGGGCCGTGTGGCGCGTGTTGCAGAGTGCGCCCGCTGCCGTTCGCCGGCTGGTTCCCGTTCGACACGCGCTGGGGCCAAGGAGGCTACTGGGTGGCGTTCAGCCTGCAAGTGGTGGCGGGCTTCTTCAACTCCATGAACACGTGCGGCGTCAACAGCCTGTACTTGGGTCTCATGCTGTGCGCCACCCTCAACCTGCGCGCGCTGGGCGCCGCCCTGCGCCACCTGCCGGCCCGCGAACCCCGGCGTCTGCGCGAGCTGCTCCAGC